AGATTTAACCCGCTAGAAAGCCCCGGCTAATTCGCTCTATAGTTTTGCTCTAGCATTGTCCTTCTCTTTTGCTGCCTATGTTCCTACTAGTTCACCTCTTTCTTCTTAAATACTGCGCATCGGAGCCGGCGCGTGTCGGAGCCTACGTAGTTAGCGTATTCGGAAGCGTACATTTGTCGCGGTCGGTAGCGTACATTTAGCGTATACGGAAGCGTGCAATATCGCGACAAAGGCTATTATTGTTATTGTTGTTTTGATTGTTAGTAACGTAAAGCAGACTTATTCTTGCCTTAGGACTCAATACGTGATTATAATTCGAATTTCCGACTAATAAGAGAAGCCGCTTTATTTTGCGGGCGCATCTTTGAAATTTAGCCTCCCTATACTACGACTGCTATACTGCCTATATTCACTAACTAATCGCATATGCATACGTTGTATAGCACTAATCTGATTTGTTCTCGAGCTCTACGCTAGATCTACTAGACACCTTCTACAACTATTTACTCGCTTCGCTCGCTTAGGTTGCTCTAGGTACCTGTTAGATCTGTCGCTCCGCTCGAATAACGCTAACCTATCTTCTCCGTATATGCGTTCTAAGACAGCTATAGTTGCCTAGTAGTACGGTTTCGCTTTACCTTAATGCTAAGGAACTATAACAGTTGTCTAAGATTATTAAGCTCGTATTCCTTTATTAGCTTCTGCTTAAGCTCTATTGCTTTCTGCCTATATTAGCGGTAATATAAGAGCACTATATCGTCTATATAGAAGAAGATAAATACCTGTTTATCTAGGTCGGTATATAGGCAATCTATATTATCTACTAGTTGTATACTAAGCTTATTCTCGAGAGTAGTTGTAAGATAGTTATACTATAACCTTAGTGATTCCTAGAGACTATATAGTGCCTATAGCAACTGTAATACCTTTCCTTTCTATTTAAAGCCTTCTAGTAGCTTTAAGTATAGTATATAGGGTAGGCTAGCATTTAGGAAGGCATTAACAGCGTCTATTTATTTAGCCTCTAAGTCGAAGGTCGAGGTAATTACTATTAAGGCTCGGAACACTTTTGCTACTAGTGTAGAAGCATATGTATCTAGGTGTATATTCTTCTATAGATCACCCCTTACGCATACTCGTACCTTGAATTTTACAAGCCTTCCTTTAGTATCGCCTTTATACTTAAATACCTATATAAGTAGTAGTAGGTTATAATTGTGTTCCCCTATATCTACCTACTTGAATATATTAGTCTTTAGAGCCTTGTTAAATTCTACTCTTGCAGCGTGTATCTAATACTCTTTAAATTTGCTCTTTATAACTTAACGCTAGTTACGTAGCTCGGATAGTAGGTCTGCTACCTTCGGAGTAAGGGTCGGGTCGTCTTTATTACGAAGAAGTAGTAGTAGCTCTAGTAAAGGTAAATTAGGCGGATTAGGCTCGTTAGATCGACTAGGTTATACGAGGCGTACTTTATACTCGGCGGCTATATAGAGGTTACTAAATAATAGAAGGTGTTTCGCTTATTCTCGATTGTAGCGGATTGCGGCTGCTCGTTGTCGCTTATTTAGATTGTTAATACGGTAGTATAGACCGCCTATATTTAGTAAGTAACGATAGGATATATTAGCGGCTTCAATTAGCATTAGCAATTTAGCTAGCTTAGTATGTAGCAAGTTAAAGTCTATATTATCTATATAACCTAGTGCGTCTATATTGTTAGTAGGGGCTTTATTGCTAGTATCGTTCTTAGGTTGCTAATTAATAGTTAATCTATCTAGCACGTTATTACGGGGTTGTAGTGCCTCGCGTAGATTAATTGGAAAGTCTTGTTTCTATAGTACCTATATAGGCTAAAGCTTAGCTAGTACTAATAGTAGTTCTTAAGGTAGGTCTTGTCTAATAGGCTTATCTGCTAGCCCTATAGGGTCAACTATTATAAGTCGACTAGGTCCTATTAGTATATCTACCCCCTTAGCTCTAAACCTAATAAGGTCTAGAGGTGTATCGTATGCTTCTCGAAGCTCGTTAAATTAATACTCCGAGGCGGGTACTTATACTTCTTCGAGATTACTAAACTAAGTCAGTTCTTAGTTAGTTAGGTTAACTCTAAGATTATTATCGTATCTATTATAGAACAGGGTTTTATTAAAGATAATATCTCTTGTCCGTAGGACTATTATACGTAATAGTACCTAAATCCTATAGATTGAATAGCCTTCGTAACTATATAGGTATCTAATATAAGTGCGAGAAGCTACCTTTATAGTCCTTAGCAGGATGTCCTTTCGCTTTTCCGTACTATAGATTAGTAGATAGGCTCGTATACTAAATTAATATAAATAGGCTATATTAGGTTTATATCCTATTCCAATCTTAAATAGTGTCCTTATTGCATAGTCGGTAGAGCGTAACCTTAGTAAACGGTTAATTAAGAAGGTTGCTATATAGACTCCTTCTAGCTATAGCTTGTATAGAAAGCGTATATATATTATAAGGGCCCTAGCTACTTTAATAATAGTACGGCCCGCTCGCTCTACTAGATCTTGCTTAGGGGTATATAGTGCTAATAGCCTCTAGGTAGTATAGTTATTACGTAAATAGGACCGAAAGCGCATTCTACTAATAGCTCCCTTATTGTCGGATAATAGGTAGATAATATCCCTTCTAATACTACGTATAAATAATACTAGTTAGTTCTAATATTGCAACAAGGTTGATTTAGTTCGATTGCTAATAGTCTAACTAAAGTAAAGTCCTATATTTAAGTCGTATGCGTAGAAGATATACTAGTCGCTATTGTAGGCCGTATCTAGTTGCATTAAATCGGCTGCAATGTGTCTATATAGGGTTAATATCGATACGTTATAGTGCCTTAGCCTCCTAGAAATAAGCTTCTTGCCCTTTGCTTATGTATATATAGGGTATAGCGGTGTTCTTAGTACCTTATTGTTATGTATATAATCCCTTTTTATCCTATTAACTCTGTTAACTAGCTCTTCTACTCTTTTAGCGCCTAGGTGCCTAAACACCTTATATATTTGCTTAAATATAAGCTTTCTTAGTAGTAGTAGGCGTGCGGAGCGGCGAGCTGTTATATATAATAATAGGGGGAGTTAGAATAGGTATTTAAGCGGCTTGTTATCTAAATCGACTAGCTACTTAGTTAGTAGTAGTGCTTTATCTACTTTGCTAACAATGTCGAAGTAGGGCATCCCTTATATTAGTCTAATAAACTTAACTAGTAGCTTGTATTGTAGGCTATAGAGGGTGTTATCTATTTCTTAGTATTTGAATCCTCGTTAAAAGAAGAAGGCACCTCTTACGATATTAGTATAGAAGTTAGGGATGTAAAGGTATTCCCTTAGTTCAATCTATAGGGGCTTGCTACTAATAGCTATAATAGTAAAGGATGCTATTCCGATAGCTACTACCTTGTTATAACTAGTGCTAGTTACTATAGTCGAGGAAGCTAGTAATAGAAGTAGTATAAAATTAAAGCGACTAGGATAGTTAATAATATTGCAGTTTAAACTACTATCGTATATTAGGCTATTAAATAGATTCCACTCTGTTAATGCTGCTATACTAAGGTAGGCGGTAGGTCTAATTGCTCTAGCAAATAATAATAGCGTACTAGAATAGAAGAAGCAGGCAAGGGAGAGCTTATCTAGTATAGAATCCTCGTTACTTTCTAGTCTATAGTGCTCTTAAGCGATTTTAATAGCTAGTAGGTCCTTAAAGAACTTAGCCTGCCTTAGATAGAAGCTCTTATTCTTACGTAGGTATCCCTCGAAGTGTCTTAGCTTAGCCTTCTACTTGTTGTCCTTATCCTTCTCTTTAACCTAGTTACGTAGGCGGTAGTTAACTATATTATATTTGCCTCGGTTCTTATATGCCTTCTTCTTACTAATACTAGTAAGCTTAGTATATGTCTTTAGTATACGGTTTCTACTATTACTACGGCCCTTGTTCTTATTAGGCTTTTTACTATCGTTTTCTTCGGCTGCTTACAAAGCGGCGTTAGTACTAGCTTTACCTATTTCTTCGTAGATAATGCTAAATAATAACCCCTTCTTAGTAGAGGCTCCTAGTATATTGCGGGCATATTCTCGTACTATACTAATTAGTTAGAGGAAGTAATTAGTATTAGGTAAGGCCTAATGCATTATATAGAGTCCCTTTCCGTAGGTTTTATCTATATTCGTAACTGCTATATAGAGATAGACTACTAGGTTATCTAGTTCTAAGTATTGTATACGCCTTATCTTCTTATATAGGTTAAGCTATTCCTTATACTACTATTCTAGGTCCTTAACTTGTCGTAAACCTATTAGTCGAGCTAGTTCCTTACTAACTATCGTCCTTTACTATTATATATTTAGAGCAAGCTTGTCCTTTAGTCGTATAAGAACAATACGCAGTATTAGCACTATTATATTATTATTATCGGTAATTTCTAAGTAATAGCGTACGTCTATAGTAGTAGCTAGGTATTCGATAGACTTGTTATATACTAACCTAAATCGATTAAACTCGGCTAACTAGACCCTATAGATATCTATTGCTATTTTAATACCTTACTAGTAAAGAGGGTTAACTAGTATACGTACTAAGTCTAGTATAGGAGTTATAGGCTATGCTAGTTCTATAGGTTTATTAGTATATAGATTAGTATATATCTAGGTCTCGTATCTAGTAAGATATGTCTTAGTTTGCTTAAACTAGCGGTCCTAGTCGTTTAGTCCTCGAAGGGTAATATATTTAGTACCGCTAAGGCGACTAGCTAATAAGAGAGCTATTATTAACGATATACTAATCTTATAGGCGCTTATAGAAGCTTAATTGAATAGTGTTTTAGTGCTAATAAGACTACTAATTGTTATCTTATACTATAGAAGTCTCTAATACTATAGATTTCCGGGCTTATAACTATTACGTATAGCGTAGTAGATTACTTACGTAATACTACCTTGCTAGCTGTTTGATATAGCTTCGTTAATTGCCTATATTCTGCTTATTCTATAGTCTAAAATACAGTGTAGAAATCCTTCTCCTGCCAAGAAGTCACGTGCTGTCATGTGACTGAGCTTACGCGTCACAGCCTGCCCTACCCTACCCTACCCCTACCCCTACCCATCAGCCCATCCGTGGCTCAGCCATCCGATCCGACCTGAGTGTTTCTGGTCACAGGCTCATGTCAACCAGCGGCCATATGCCCATCTGATCCGAGCTGCAACTTTTCGCTGCCGTTCAATGCCCATCCTGACGTCGCTGAGCTCCTCGGCTTCATCACTAAACTCTCTGTATATTTCTGTCGGCATAGCTTTCTGTGCAAATTGCCGTAACACATGTACCTCGCAGAGCAGTAATCCTTGGTCTTTGTACAATAGCTCGCCATACTCTGTGGGCTGGCTGCTGGTGAGGATGCGATCGATATTACGCAGTTGCCTGAGCATTTTGCCCTGTTTTCGAGCTGCGCTGGAACCACGCTTTTCTGAAAGCGATGATCGAATGTAGTGCGTGACACCATATGCCACGAGAAGTCCTGGAGTGAGACTGATGAATCCAATCAAAAGTTCCTGTGATTTCAGCAGCGAATCGATACCACCCATGGCGACCTCGACGTCTACTTTCGTCTTCTGAATCTGGATGAGAAGTGCTCGAATCAGGTTTCCGCGGACAGCGCCCATCAGAGGGGAAGTCAAGTCCTTCTCATATGCTTTGAGAACGGGTGTGAGGTCTCCTTCTCTGACCTTTGCCCGAATATCCGCGATCTCAGCCTCACTTAGGCTTGATCCCGATTCAGTCGCATTGCCAGGATTATCAACAGCAAAATCGACGACCATACGCTCAAGGCTTTCCCTATCACCTTCAAGTGATCGTTTCGACATGATGCTGATCTCACTGCCTTCGTCATGGCGGATCGTGCGAATGACATTCCTAGTAGGCTCAAGAACCCAGTTCTGCCAGAAGTCTACGACAGTAGCGCCAAGATCCTGGATCCATTGGACGACTTCGGCTTTTCGGTTGACTAGCATCCTTAGAATGGTTGATGAAAACATGACACCAGATGCGATTGGTAGCCAGTATCGGACGAGGCGAGGAGGTTTGCCGTGTTCCCTCGCCAATGCTCTGGTGGAGTCGGAGTACTGCGATAGTCCTAGTGTGATGACTCTGGACAGTCTTTCAGCAACAGATTGCGGAAAGACAGCCACCTCATTCGACTCCAGAGCATAGAGAGGGTCCTCGTCCGTGAGAGCCGCGATTGATGAGTCGAATTTGTCAACTGGCGTATCGAGGTCGTTGATCTTCACCAGGACGGCTTCCATTAATGCCACATTCCGTGCCACCGAAGCTCTCCATTTGTGCTGCACATCCTGCGTCACAGGACTTGAGACACCTTCTCCATGTCCACTTTCGTTTGCTAGCCCTTCACCAAGTAGAACTCCCAGCGCATTTGCATTCCGTATCCTGACTTTCTTCAACGCTGCCTGCTTCTGCCGTACCTCGCCCTTGATCCTAGTCACGGGCGAAAGCATCTGCTTGTGCACTTCTCTTACGCTCTTCTCTTTCACGACTTGCCTTACGAGACCATAAAACTGCTTCCAGCGTTCTGTCAATGTGTCGCTCGCATCTTGGCTCGCGCCTCTAATGCTGAAATTTCCACCTCGCGCCTTCACGTCGTCCCATATGTTGCTACTCCAGGCCCAGAGCCGTAATGGTGATGTCTGTATACTGTACAGAGCCGTATACTGCTGTGATCCTAGCACTTCATCCCAGTACCATATGTCATCAGACAGCCGTACAGCTTCGTCCAAGATGCTGCTCAAAACGTGCCCGTATACTTGTGTGGTGGCCTTCGACACCAGAAGCCACTCGAGCTCGGTCTCAAGCTCGTCTCTTACTGGAGCCTCTGCATCTTCTCCTCCACTTGATGTAGTTGCCTCTGGCCTATCGCTCAACGCTGAAAGTGCTGTTTGTATCTGCCATGGCTTGAGGAGAAATCTGCTCTCAGAGCTGCCAGGCGTGAGGCCTCTGATTGCTGTTTGAAGGGCTGCGATTCGCTCGGGAGGTAGGGAACGTTGCGAGTCGGTCGGAAAGTCTGTTTGAGCTCGCGTGAGAGTTGGAGACTGTGCGGCAGCTGCTGGCAGCGACGCGAGTTGGAGACGATCGAGTTGCGCGTCGATGCGCTGGACCTGGTCCAGAACGAAGCTCATCTTGCTGGAGATGGCTTAAAGTATAGCTGTTTCCTGGCGCATAGGTTTGAGCTCGCGTGAGAGTTGGAGACTGTGCGGCAGCTGCTGGCAGCGACGCGAGTTGGAGACGATCGAGTTGCGCGTCGATGCGCTGGACCTGGTCCAGAACGAAGCTCATCTTGCTGGAGATGGCTTAAAGTATAGCTGTTTCCTGGCGCATAGGTTTGAGCTCGCGTGAGAGTTGGAGACTGTGCGGCAGCTGCTGGCAGCGACGCGAGTTGGAGACGATCGAGTTGCGCGTCGATGCGCTGGACCTGGTCCAGAACGAAGCTCATCTTGCTGGAGATGGCTTAAAGTATAGCTGTTTCCTGGCTATGCGCTCATCATCTCTCCAAGATCTAGATACAGGAAGTACAAGACAACGATTGACAAATACTAGGAAGTGTTGTGGACCGCGGGCGCGTTCCAAGAGTGGCAGCGCAGAGGTCACCCACGTTCGAAAATTTTCGGCTTGGCGTTGCTTAAAAAAGCGAGCGTCCACCAGCTGAGCTATATCAGCTTCCCCGGATTTCTTGGCATAGATGGGCAGATATATACACGCAAAACCCGAGGACGTTCAGCCAATCAGATACACTACTGACGAGGGTAGTAGATGCGGGCGCCCCGAGGCCCAATCGTTAGACTACGCTTTATTGAGGGCCCCTCCGGGGGAGCAGGGGCTGGCCGGCTACTCACAGTGTTTACCATTCTGTATTCCCGAGTAGGACTGTAATCCCCCGACCGTGTAGCTGATTCTACGCTATAATATAGCACACGTTGAAGCTATACGGGTCGGGAATGGGTACTTCCGGAGGGTGTTTGGTTGGCTTTTTTTTTTTTTAAAAAAAAAAGACTAAGGTAGAGGAGATTAACTACGAACAATATTTTATTATTACAATCGTTAAAGCCTAAATTTTAACTACAATCGACGACTATCGGATTTAGAGTCTAGTATTCGGTTAGTATATGTGTTAGTATTAATACGATTCTAATAAAAATTATACTATAAGTCTATATATATATATATAATATATAAGATAGTATATATAGCAAGGGGAAATATAAACGTATATATAGAAATTAAATATACTAGTTAAGGGGATATATTTATAATGCTAGTATATAATATATTATAAGAGTATTAGGATAGATTAGGACAATATTAGTAGAAACTATACCGTTATTACCGGACAACTTAGTCCGTTATAAACCCTAGATATATTCGAAAATCAAAGAAATATATACGTTTACTTAAATTATAGAATTAGAGCCGCGCGAGTTAGTACAATAGTCTAGCAACTTGTTAAGTTACTTAGATAGGAACTCGATAATAGAATTTCCTCTTAGTAGTTACAGCCTATTATAAACGCCGTCCAAGTACAAAACTATATATAGTAGATTAATATACAAAGTACTCCTCCTCGAAAGTTGAAACCTAACTCCGATATAGCGCCGCCTAAGCACAAAACCATATATAGTAGATTAATATACAAAGTACTCCTCCTCCTCGAAACCTAACTCCGATATAGCGCCGCCTAAGTACAAAACCATATATAGTAGATTAATATACAAAGTACTCCTCCTCCTCGAAACCTAACTCCGGTATAGGACTACTACCTCCTATCCCACCAGCCATTAGGTACTCCTCCGGGGGCCCCTCCGGACGGGGTATAGTAGGCGCTCTTCGCCTCGGTAGTAACGTAGGGCTAGGATCCGCCGGGCTAGGTGATAAATCCGGCGATACCGAGCCACCCCATAATTCCTCCTGCGTAGTTCCATGCCGTAACGGACTCCTCTGCCTAGTATCCCTTAAAGACGGCCGGAGGATAGGTGGAATCCGAACCGGCGAAGGATCGATACTCTTACGGAGGGTAGAAGGTGTTTTCCTAGTCGAGACTGAAGGAATAGACCTTGGCGAACCAAAGGCTAGACTTTGTGTACGTATACTACGTGGCGTAGTAGTAGGGCTAGTAATTTCGACAGATAGGAGTTGCTTCGTCCGTTCTAGCCAATCTAGATCCCTATCTTTCGTAATATCGGAGATACCAAAAGTAATATCCGACTTTACAAAGTCTTGTTCGATAGCGAGGTCCTTATAGGCCCTAACCCTCGATAAGGCTACGTAGAATGCCCCGGGAGATACTTGCTTCTCCCTAAGGTTTACGACAACCCGATCTAAAGTCATACCTTGCGACTTATGAATCGTAATCGCATAGCAGGTTACTATAGGGAATTGCTCGCGCCATTGTGTCTCCGTAGTACCGTAAGTACCGCGTGCCCTCCGTACGGGAAAGATAGGCACAACCGCACCCTTCCGGGCCCCCCCCCGAGCGTCGATCTGCTCGTTTAGTCCAACCCCACGAAACTCGGGAAAATAAACGAGTAGACAGCGAGGCATAGTATCCCGGGGACTCTCTACGTTCCTCGGTCCTTAGAAGAATATATAGTTGGCCGCGGCTACCATTAACTAAACCCATCTCCGTCCAGATATTCTGACATAGAAGTACCGGACATCCAATAACTAAGTATAGCTCGGAATAGAGTCCTTGAAACTCTTTCTCGTCAAGCCGACTACTCGAAATAGAGTCGTGCTTAGCGCTAATACAAAGTATCGGATATTCGCTAGCTAAGAGTTGCGTACGATTAAACTGCTCTACCGTAGTACGATAGGAGTAAAGCCGGATAGCAGACTTAAAGTCTCTCTGTATTGCCTCCCCGAAGGGCGTAAACGTACGCTGTCTAAGAAGATTATAGTGCCTATCTTCTACCTTATTAACCCGGACGGCTTGTAGGGCATCCTTAAATTGTAGGGCAGTCTTATCCTGCCCGGATTGCCGGACAACCTGTGACAAACGTAGCGTATACTTAAAGGCTCGGTAGCAATTACGACCGGAGATATCTATAGCGTTATATAAACGCTTAGTAGTAAAGAGAGCGGTAGCCGCGACGGGCGGAAGCTGACAGAAGTCCCCGGCTAGAAGAATACTAAACCCGGCAAAAAAGTCGGTAGAGGCCTTAGTTTCAGGAAAGATCTCGAATAGGCGCTGATTAATCCAACCTAGTAGACGAATACTAAGCATAGATTTCTCGTCAATTACTATAAAACGCACTCCTTCTAACCGTCGGCGGCAGACCTTTCTAGCCTCGTCTCCAAGTTCGTCTAAGATAGGATCGACTTGAATAGGTAGATTAAAGAAGGAATGAATAGTATAGCCATCGATATTAAACGCCGCTGCCCCAGTAGGGGCAAGTCTAACAATAGGACTTCGAGTACTACCTTCAGTACGCCGCGCAAGAGCCTGTAACCGAGCCGAGAGTAGCTCGATTACATAGGACTTTCCGGTACCCGCCTCGCCGTCGAGATTAATTAATAGCTGCGGGGCGCCTTCGGAGTTGGCGGGCGCCCCTAAGCGGGTACCGAATGGAAACTCTCGGACAAACTGTTCGTAGTTCTTAACAAAGACACTATATACTGCCGCTTGCCCCGGATTTAGTGATAGATAGGCGTTGGATGCCTGAGATTCGACATCTAAATTCGAGGTCGAACTTTCCTTTAACCGCCGCCAATAGTTATTCCGAGCTAGCGGTTCGTAAACCTCGGGTATAGTATCCTTAAAACGGCCACAGTAGGGACTCCAGTCAGCAGAAATATCAATACCCCGCTGTCCTAACTCGAGCTCCTCGCGAATCCGATTATTATCGCTAGGATGCTCGTTCCCGAGTTCGTTAAATATAGCCTCCTCATCCTCGGTAATAGGATATTCCTCCTCGAACTCGTCCTCAAAATCCTCGTTCTCCTCGGCTAGACGGCCGTAATAGTCCCTCCTAAGTGTAGGATACTGCGACTCCCGGCGCTCTAATTCCCGGTAGGCAGCCGGCCACGTAGTATAAGAAATAGGCGAGTTTGGGAATCGGAAGGGTAGTACTGGATATACTATCCAAGGGACGTGTAGTACAACCTTAAACCGACAGTACTGCGCGTACTTCGGATCGCTAGTATCGCTAGGATATAGCGGGATATAGCGAAGAATCCGGTCGGGATTTCTATCCGCTAACCTCGTAGGCGGATTCCGGCCTAGATTAAATCTAGTCGCGAACTCGAAGAGCGAAACAGTAGCGTATACTTCCTGTCGATCGCTATACTTCATATAGATCGTCCTACGCGCAGTCTGCTGGGGGTGCCCCTCGCCGAGGTCGTTTAGCCCAAATGGTACCTGTTGCTCTGCCTGCGGTCTACAGTCGAGGTTAACGAACTGCCGCGTACAATCTACTAAATTATAACCTAGTAGAATAAACGAAACCTCTTGTGCGGACCAATCTCTTTGAGAAACTAGCTTATTAAGTAGCTTAGCGGCAAGCGAGACTAAGGGCCTCCTATCAGATATACGGGGCAGGATATCCCGTATAAGTTCTGAATAGGGCTTTGTAGCAACCTCGGCTTTCGAACAGTACTTAACAATATATTGTAGTACTGCCTTAATATCGGTACACGGAGTAAGATCGGTATTCGCTCTCCAGGCCATCGTTAAAAGGGGATTAAAGTGATTAAGGTTCTGATCGTTACACTCGGCAATATATGTAACAAACTTGTCGTTATAGCGATTAGAAACCTCGGCCCTCTCTAGGATAGTACGCGGAAAGTGAAACCGGCAATATTTCGTAGTATCGGCCGCATCTTGTCCCTTCTTACGGCGTAGGCAATAATCGTTACACGAGTGCCGCTGAAGTCGGTTTACAAGATCCGAGAGAAACTCGAGATTGTTTTCTATTTCCGAGGTATCCGAATTTATAGCACTACGGCCAATAGGGGCACCCTGCCGACTAGTATCCGGATTTAAGGCAACGATATGTCTATCCCAACGTGTAGCAAGTGCCGAACGCCCCTCGTCAGTAGTAACACTAATCGATGGTAGCTCGTCTATCCAAAGAAAAAAGTGCGCGTGAATACTACCTCTCCCTTGAAACTCAAACCGAATCCATGAGTCAGATACCCTAAATTTAGGCTCTAGGACAGTCTTAAACAAGAGCTTTAACCGACGCTTAAATAGATCTACTACGATATGCGGATAGTCCTTAAGAAACTCCCGTGCTAGACGGATAGAATCGGCCGAACTACCTGTTTTCCATTCGTTATAGAACGGACTTAACCGAAGTAAATGGTCCCACTGTAGATCGGCGGGACTACAGGTTCCAAAAAGCGCCGGACATCCTAGAGACCGAACCATCGCTTCTAGTTCCATTCGGCGGGCGCCCATATACGGCCTCGTACCAATTAGGGACCGCCCGTGCCTTGTAATTGTGTCTAAAATAGACTTAGAATCCGGGGACTCCGGGTTTAGTAAGGCCTCCCGTAGTTGCTCCTTTGTAAGGCTATTAGCAACTTCGAGACTACGGGCAAGGTACGTAGACTGGCTACGAGTTAAGCTTCGGTAATAGATATTAAATACCGTATACCGCCAGCTAGTATGGGAACCAAATCGACCGTCGTAATAGTATAGTAGGGCTTGAATATAGTCCTTAAAACCAACTGTCCTTTCGCGAGGGCTATAAAAATCGCCCTGCCCTGTAGGATATAGGTACGGAAAGGCAAGTGATAGAAGGCTACTATTAGTATCCCACTCGTCGATAGGTCGCGCCTATAAATAGGGCCACGTTAAGTGGGGTAGACTGCGAGGCTGGGCTAATCGATGTAGACTCGTCCCGGGGGGTCCCCGGCTAACTTCGGTCGGATTCTGGGGGCCTACCCGGCTAACCTCGGGATTATCCCCCCCTGCTATACTCTCTACAGACCGTAGGTCATCTAGTAGGGTTTGATTAGGATCCCGGGTTTGCCCTAATTGCGGGACAGCGGCGGTTTCAATAGGAAATTCCTCGTCCTCGCCGGTAGTATCTAAATATTGTGGCCGATCGCTAGTAGTAGTTTCATCGGACTCTACTAACTCGGTTTGAATTTGACCTAATACGCTATTATCTTGCGGAAGCTGAGACAATAGCGTAGGGTCTATTTCGATATCAGAATATCCGGGATGATTATCCTTTAAATACTCTAACCACAACTTAATAGCCTGCCTACGAACGCGGAATTCGCGATTAAAGGACGCAATCTCATTAGTATTTAGGTTCCGAGGCCTAAGTAATAGTATATCTACCTCATTAGGTAGTCGCGGCAGTTTGTTATAAACAGAGACTATATCGCGAAGGAAATGAGCGACATGTCCGCGGTACTTATACTGCTAGCCCCGGACCGTAAGTACGTTAACGGCAGTATGGACCCTAGCGATTAGGAGCTGTTCTATATCGCTAAGCTTAGGCAAATCTACCGGTAGCTCGCCCGGGTCCATATTATTTGCCCTAGAGAATGGGGGAATTCGAGGGGGGTTCGACTTAATAGCCTTTAAACAAGAGCTACAAGCGCCGGTAGTAGGATCTAGCTTAAGATCTAACCAGCGGCGGGGGCATATTTGACACCGTATCCAAGATATAGTATCTCCCTGTCGGCTAAATCGTATACACCGGTCGAAGTCGGTATTAGATAGAGCCGGTCGAGTACGACGTTGTTCTAGTGTTTCGGCGTTTTTAAGGCTAAGATTACCCTCATCTAGTTCGCGAGTAGCCTGGGCTGCCTCGCGAATTCGATTAAGAGAACGCCTATTCATTCGAGACCTCGACGACTCGGAAGCCCTACTAGAGCTAGGAATCGTAGAGGGAAAGATACCGTGTTGCCGGCAGTAACCATATTCGAGACTACCGGCCTGAAATTCCGATCGGGTAGTAAAGTGGCTACCCGTTTCGCACCACTTTAGCTCAGTAGTAATATCCGAAATACCGGGATTCGAACAATACGAGCAGAGGGTAGAATTAACTACCCGACATTCTCTATAGGGCCGAGGTATATTACAGCCGCTACAGGTAAATGAATTTATATCGCGGGCAAGTAAGGGAGCCCTAGTAGATCGTAACGCCCGATTTGCGCGGTCCTCTCTCGCGACAGCCCGTCTTTGCTCCCTTTCAATAGAGGTTTCGTCCCGACCTCTCCGATAAATATTAGGGGCTTCTACGTTAATAGTAGGGCTACGCGAACGCCTTTATAGCCGCCTTTTGCGTGCCTGTTTCTCGCGACATGTAAGACAGGTCTTATAGGACTGCCTACCCTCTCGATTAAAATCGCTTAGAGGTCGTTGTGTTTTACACCTCGAACATTGTTTTTGTACTCGATCCCGAGTAGTATCCGAATTAGAATCCATATTATATAGATCCTAGGTAAATTTCGATCTAGGACCGTAGTAAATGTACCTAGTTTCCCTCGGCGAAAGGGGTTTTTAAAGGTATACTCCTTGACGTATATAAGACAGTAAAATAGTTCCTTTAAAGAATCTAAAATACTACTCCTATATACATATCCTCCGAACGTGCTAGGATACGATTTCTATATAAGGCGGTTCCGCTCCCAAAGTAGGTCCGCTAGCCGGCCACTTTTATATAGGAAACCCTTACTTCGGGGGCGACCCTGCCTCGCGAGCGCTCTTAAAACGCGCGCAACTCGTAGACTTAGCGAAAATTGTACGTCTAGTATAAAAAAAAGTCGATATACCTACTAGACGCCCTAGAGCCTTACTATAGCCCCTCCGATTAGGCTAATATTTAGTACCCTATAGGCTAGTATATTAGGGCGCCTCTAGACTAGATAGCTATAGAATACGGAGTATCCTATATATATCTCGATAAATACTAATCCGATTTCAATAAAAATTACACCGTTAGAACCGCGCGGGTCGGTTCTATTAAACGTGAAATTTTTATAGAAATCGACCACCTTCGAATTTGGTGTTAGTAGGTGTTGGCTAGTGTTGGCTCTAACTTCGGCGGTTAATATCTCAATGAATATTGATTCGATTTCTATGAAAATTACACCGTTAGAACCGCGCGGGTCGGTTCTATCAAACGTGAAATTTTCATGGAAATCGACCACCTTCGAATTTAGTGTTAGCAGGTGTTGGCTAGTGTTGGCTCCAACTTCGGCGGTTAATATCTCAATGAATATTGATTCGATTTCAATGAAAATTATACCGTTAGAACCGCGCGGGTCGGTTCTATTAAACGTGAAATTTTCATGGAAATCGACTACCTTCGAATTTAGTGTTAGTAGGTGTTGGCTAGTGTTGGCTCTAACTTCGGCGGTTAATATCTCAATGAATATTGATTCGATTTCAATGAAAATTACACCGTTAGAACCGCGCGGGTCGGTTCTATCAAACGTGAAATTTTCATAGAAATCGAGCTATTAGCTCCTACTTTATAAGTATATAGAGAGTATTAGTTTCCATTCTATATATATCGGCTAGTTGGTCTAGTGGTATGATTCTTAACCATTAATGATTCTATTTCTCCCGGCTATACTACTTAATATAGTCCCCGCTATATGAAGGTATATGTCTTAAAGGAGTTATAAGATCGATGGGGGTTAAGAGGTCGTAGGTTCGAGTCCTACACTAGCTATTTTTTTTTATTTATACGTAATTAATAGGAAATATACTTGTCGTAGGTTCGAGTCCTACACTAGTCCTACACTAGCTATTTTTTTTATTTATACGCAATTAATAGGAAATGTACTTAAATCTTGAATTAAATATTACTACTATCAAGCTAATACCCTAGCTAATAAGCTAAGAAATCCGGGGTAAGTTAAATTCCCCTTTAATCTTTGTTTCGATTGACGTTCTACGCTGAAATCCGGGGTAAGTCAAATTTCCCTTCAATCTTTGATTGCATATTACTTCTGCGAAATTTCTCAGCCAATCATTTCGGTCTTGGCGGACAACTTGGATTTTCGCGGGCGGTGGCCGCGGTGTCTAGATTGGCAGCTGCGCTGCCAATAAACAGGTGGAGATGGATTGAGCGTGACGTAGTGGTTCTACAATGGCAGCTGAAGATCTGGGGAAGCCAAGCAATTCACGGAGAATGAGACCAAACGTGAGTATGCCATTAGGGACCTTCAGAAGCCACCAAATTGCAGGGGTCTCTCGAATCGGCGAACAAGGTGGATACGAGGGTTACTGCCGCATCCTTCGAAGGCTGGTTTTCTACCCCTGCGAGTTATCAACTCGTAGGCCTAGACCGTGCTTTTGAACGGAGTCGTTCAAAAGTATATAATACGCTATATTCACAACTCGTATAGGTAGTAATCCTGCCTTAACCGGAAGTAGAAGGAGGTAGAAGGGGGCTTAAGCCCTATCCGGCTTAGCTTATTAAACTAGCTTCTTAGTAGACTTAGTACTACCGAATAAGCTATATACTATAACTAGCGACGGTAAGGTAGAAAGTAGCTATTAGGTCTTTAAGATAGTGCGAGAGGGTACTAGCTTATATATATAAAGGTCTAGGTATATAGCCGTTAGTATAATTAGCAATAGGGGGCTACTAAATAGAATCTAAATTCGAGGATTAATTGTAGTATATCGTCTATAGGATAAGAGACGTCTACGGAAGTAGTAGAAGTCTTAGTTTATTAGTATAACTACTATTGTTCTCGATTATAGCTACTATAGACACTCCCTCTTATTTCTCTTATATTATCGACCTAGGCTCCGGCTCTTTAACTCTAGTATTCGCTATACTAGTCTACCTACTACTATAGGCACCGCCTATACCTATCTAAGTAGCTCTCTAAGGTAACCCTCTTTATATAGATATGTCTTTAATATAGCTATACCTAGTCGGAAGTCTATTACCTATAATTTAGTCGGTTATTAAGCGGCTATATAGTCGCTCTATATCCGTAGCGAGCTTATTAACTAATTCAAACTAGAGCGACAGCGATAATAGCAGTGTTGCTACTAATTAAACACTAAATTCAACTCTATTAAGGCTAGTCGTTATTAGAGGTATAGATACCTCCTTAATAGCTTAGCTTTAGCGGCAATCGGAGCGATAATAACAGGTTGTAGTCTAATAATCTGCACTAGATTTAAGCGACTCTTAGTCTTCTACTAAAGGTATAGAAGAAAGTATAGAATACGACTACAATCGAGTTAATAGCGATAGTAAGATTTCCGACGACTTCGCCTTACTAATTATTAAGCACTTCGAGGCTAACTCTAGCTATTATATAGAAGGACGAATAAGAGATATAATAAAGCGCTATTAGAAGTAGTATAACGACAATCGACCTACTAGACAACGTACTATCCGAGGTATAGACGGCCTTATTCGCAGGTAGATCGTAAAGCGTGTCCTCGAGTATAGAGTCCTTCTTACTACCTCTAGTATAGTTGTTAACGACTCCGAGTTTAAATAGATACTTAATCGCTTTAAGAATACTATATTATATAATAATAAGAAGCTCCGCGATAAGCTACTTACTACTAAGGAGTTACGTGCTTACGAGACTCCGGCTTAGTAGGTCTAAAACAATATACTCCGTATTATATCGTAGCGGCTTTAGGATCCGGTAGCTATTACAAGTCTATCGTTACCGCGTCTAGTTGTTATAGCTCTATTACCTTCGACTCTATTACCTTCGACTCTATTACTAAATCCGGCTCTTTTAGATGCTACTAATATACCTCCTACTACGATACTATATTCGACGCGCTATCGGCTGTATATTAATAGTAAGAAACAGCTGAATAAGGAGAGGTCGTTAAGTCGAGTATTAGAGCTATTTCGAGAGGCGATTACTATATTAGCAAACTAGCTAAGAACTGCGTATTCTAAGCTATCGAATAACTACTATTTAATCCGCCGAATAGACGATATCGACAACCGCTCTAAGAAGCGTATAAAGCTAATACACGCGTCTATAGTACGTTAATTTAACGAGCTAAGAGCGCTTCTTGTTAGCCGTATTAGATACGTACCTCTCGTTCCTTCGCAGTTGTCGCAAGTTACCGACTTTAGCTTAGATTTGGACGATAACCTCGTTACTAACGTTCTTACGCCGATAGGAGATAGTAACGACGGCTACGATAGCGATAGAACTGTCTCGTAGGTATTAGAAGCGTTAGACATTAGAAATTAATAGCCGCTAGTACGTAGATATTTGTAAGAAGGGTCTGTTAGTAAGTAGATAGGGTAGTAGTAGGTATAGGTAGTATTCGATAAGGAGCTAGGAGGAGAGGGAGGAAGGCAGGCAAGTTAGCCTATTGCTAAGCGCTAAGCCCTGCCTAAGGCACTAAGACCCTGGCTTTACTTAGCCTAGTTACATGCCAATTACGTATAGCCTCTTTAGCCCTAATACACGCTTCCCTTCTAAAGGCCGCGCCCTTGTAGCCTGCCTATGTTTTACGACCTCTATTGCCGCTAACTTAGCGAGTCTAATAAGCTGCTTAGCCCGCGCTAAATTGAACACTCAACTACCTAATTATGTAACTATATCAAACCTTACCTCTAACAATACAATATACAACTCTAACTACGCTATCTCTATATATAATAAACTATAAAGTAATATGTATCTATAAGAATTGAAGGCCTTCGACTAATTATAATACGAGCGCGTCTTCCCTACTATAATAGGTAGACGTACGAGGTATTGCAGCACTGCCTCCGTTCTAAGTAATGTCGTATCGAGTTCTTTACGTCTACTCTTAAAAGACCTAGTAATGTCCGCTTCCGAGGGTTTGTCCGCTTCCGAGGGTTATTATTCTTATTGTTCGTAGTTTCGCTAGCCCTAATTAGCTAGGTTTAGTAGCCTTTAAGTGTCAATCTTATCTTATCTTTTTAAAAAACACAGCTCGTCTAGTTTCTATAGGTAAAGGCTATTATAAGTATAGTAGTAGAGGTTCGCCTCGCTTAAAGAGTTAGATAGATCGAGGAGTAACCTATTATCCGCAAGATCGACCCTAGCTAGCTTAGCTCTATAGTTTTTGCCCTTAGTTAGTCTATTAGTCGCTCAATCTTTTAACTTAGTTAAAGTTTTAACTTAGCCTTAAAGTTTTTAATTAAACCTTTAATAGGCTTAAAGCTTTTAATTAAAGTTTTAATTAAAGGTGCCTTAGGCTCGTAGTATAGGTAAGGTTGTGTCTATAGGCGTAGCGACAATAGTAAGTAATATTAACAATAGTAGCGCTAGTCGTCTTAGCGCTAACTTTACCTTCTTCTAATTTCCTTCTTCGACTAATAATATACTCCGCAATACCGTTACTAATATAGCCGCGCCGGCCGTGTCGCCCTTTAGTATAAGCGTAACGCTATCGTTACTATTATTATTACTAATACTATTCGCCTATGCGCGCGCGCCGCCTCTATCGACCGCCTAGGCCTTAGGCCTTAATAGGATATAGAAACAAGAGGGGCGCTAAGAGGAGAGTCTTATAGGGTGCGCTAGTAAAGAGGTAGATTCCTTAAAAGAGCAGGCGATTAGTTAATAGTAATAGTGCGCTCGTTAGTACTCGTTACGCGTCCGTTATCGTAGTATAGTCTTGTTATCCTTTACTAACAATTGCTTGCCTCTAATTAGTTAGCTTAATAGCACCCCGGGGGTAGCATTATTCCTAGGCCTTTCTAGTAACATTATAGGCCCTTAGCCTTCTTCTTGTTCTTTACGCTAGTCTAATACTTATCTAACAACTTAGTTATGTCTTTAAAAGAGTCTTTAGCTTCCTACGAGTCCTATTTAGGTAAATAGCCTTATTATCTTAGTAGGTACTCCTTCTTGCCTTACCTAGTACAATGCTATAGGATACGTTCTATAGACTATAGCTCCTTACTATCCGCTAGTATGTCTTCGTATTCTATAGGGGCTTCATCCCCTTCGCGTAGGTAGTACGGCTTAAGGAGGGATATATAGAAGGTGTTATAGATAGTATAATAAGGTAGGAGCTACAACTAATAGGCCTGTATGCCCTTAGCCTCTCGAATGCGGAATAGGCTAATATATCTTAGTGCGAGCTTGGGCCTTGTTTTGCTATTAGGTAATAGGTGTTTACGGATACGGAGGTTCTTTGTACTAAGCATAACTATATCGCCTTGCTTAAAGGTTATTAATATATAGCGCTTATCGTAGTAGGTCTTTTAGTACTCTTAAGCCTTTATTAACTTCTCGGCTATCTTAGTATAGATTTCTCGTATCTTCTAAACCCTCTTAATAGCCGCTAGTATTTCGGGTACTTAACGCGCTTCCCTTTCCTTACGCTCGGCCTCGAGCGATAGCAGGTCTTATAGCACAGCAGCATTCTAGCCTACTATAGCTATGCAGGGCGAGATCTTGGTTAATAAATATATCCTATTGTTGTATACGAATTCTATAGGCTATAGGAGGTTAACCTAATCCTCGGGGTTCTTATTAATGTAGCTGCGTAGGTACTGCTATAGGGTAGCATTCTGCCTCTCTATTTAACCGTTAGTCTATAGATAGAAGGCTATTAATAGCCGATGCTTTAGTCTTAGCTATAAGCAAATCTCGCTCTAATAGTAAGATATGAATGTCGAGCCCCTATCGGAGACTATCCCCTTAGGGGTTCCCTAATAGGTATAGAAGATGTTACTCTATAGCGCCT